GTACCAAGAGGCCAGCTCACTTCCATTTTTTTGAGGCTCTTTGTCTACAGCAAAATGAAGAACAAATTTCTTCATTTAATGTTTAACAAATGCTTTTGGCACCCCAAGATTAAAACACAGTTTAAGTGTGCCATTACAAGATGACGGGATTTATTAAAAGCCAACTAATAAAACCACAATGAGATACCACCACACACTTACTAGAATAGCTAAAAACGAAAAGGAAAGCAAAACTGACCAGAGCAAGCTTTCATGAGTATGTGGAGCAACTGGAAGTCTCACACAGTGTTGGTGGGAATGCAAAATGTGCAGTCACTAATATCAGGAAAAAAGTTGGGCACTTTCTTATAAAATTAAGCATACATCCACTCTACAATCCAGAAATCTCACTGCTAGGTATGTGCCCAAGAGAAATGAAAATGCAAGGTTCACACAAAACCTGTATGTGAATGTTTATAGGGGTTTTATTTGTAATTGCCCAAAACTGGAAAAACCCAAATTACTTCAACTGGTGAATAGATGAAGAAATTGTGGTATCTCCGTTGTGGAATACTTGTCAGCAATAAAAAGGAATGGACTGAAATAAACTCTTGCATATATGGCCAAATGATTTTTGACAAGGGTTCCAAGACTACACAATGGGGAAAGGACAATCTATTCAACAAATGGTGTTGGGAAAACTGGATATCCACATGCAAAGATGGAAGTTGGATCCTTACCTCACATCATATACAAAAATTAACTCAAAATGGATTAGAGACCTAAATGTAAAACCTAAAACTATTAAACTCCTAGAAGAAAATATAGGGGGAAAACTTTCAGACATTGGATTTGGCAATGATTTCTTGGATATGAGACCAAAAGCACAGGCAACAACAACAACCAAATAGACAAATGGGGCTAAATCAAACTCAAAAATTTCTGTGTGTCAAAGGAAACAATCAACAGAGTGAAAAGGCAACCTATGGAATGGGAGAAAATAGTTGCAAATCATGTATTTGATAAGGGGTTAATAGCCAGAATACATAAAGAACGTCTACAACTCAACAACAAAAAACTAAATAACCCAATTAACAAATGGGCAAAGGGCTTGCATAGACACTTCTCCAAAGAAGATATACAAATGGCCAATAAGCATGGCAAAAGATGCTGAACATCACTAATATCAGGGAAACACAAACCAAAACCACCATGAGATATCACCTCACCCCCATCAGGATGGCCATCATCAAAAGAAGAGAAAATTACAAGTGTTGGCGAGGATGTGGAGAACTTGGAACTCTTATATACTGTTGGTGGGAATGTAAATGGTGCAGCCATCATGGAAAACAGTATAGAGTTCCCCAAAAAAATTTAAAATAGAATTACATAGGATCCAGCAATCCCACTTCTGGAATATATCCAAAAGAATTCAAAGCAGGATCTTGAAAAGATATTTGCACATCCATGTTCATAGCAGCATTATTCACAATAGCGAAGAAGTGGAAGCAACCCAAATGTCAATTAACATATGAATGGAAAAAGAAAATGTGATATATATATACATATACACACAATGGAATATTATGCAGCCTTAAAAAAGGAAATCCTGTTACATGCTACAACATGGATGAAAATTGAGGAAATTATGCTAAGTGAAATAAGCCAGTCATGAAAGGACAAATACTGGATGATTCTACTCACATGAAATATCTAAAATAGTCAAAATCATAGAAACAGAAAATAGAAAGCTGGTTACCAAGGGCTGAGGGGAGGGGATGGGAGAATTACTGTTTAGTGGGTATAGAGTTTCAGTGTTGCAAGATGAAAAAGTTCTAGAAATCTGTTGCACAACAATGTGAAAACACTTAACACTACTGATCTGTACACTTAAAAATGATTAAGATGGTAAGTTTAATGTTATGTGTTTTTTACCACAATAATAATAATAATAATAATAATAATAAAAAAGAAATGGACCATTGATACACGCAACATGGATGTATCTCAAAGGCATTAGGCTAAGTGAAAGAAGCCAGGCTCAAAAGGCTGCATACTGTAGGATTCCACTGATGTGACATTCTGGAAAAAGGAGAACTATAGAGACAGAAGATAGATCAGTGTCCTCAGGGTCTGGAGTGGGAGGGGTTGGCTATGTAGAAACTTTTGAGGGTGGTAAAATTGTTCTATAGCTTGATTGTGGTTGTGGTTACATGACTGTATGTGTTTGTTACATACAGTCATAAAACTAGAACTGTACACCAAAAAAACTGTACATTGATGCATGAGAAAACCTGCACACCAAAAACCATATGCAAAATTATACTGTATATAAATTATCCCTCAATAAACCTGATTAAAAAGAAATGTGGAGTAAATATGCAAAATGTGCAGTGGACAGTGGTGTTCTTTTTTGTACCCTTCATTGTGAGTGAAATGTTTCAATCTGAAAATAATAAAAACAAAATTGATTCTTAAAAAGCCAACTGGTTTATTAGAACTGCAGTATGGTCCAATGATAGAATGTTAGTTTAAAGTTGTCTGGTAAACATGGAATTCTTATTTCATTCCTGTCAGTGTATATCTGTGACAGTATTTATTACTTCATTTTCAGAAAAGGTTAAACTTGTAAATTTGAGACTATTCAAGAATGTGTAGTCTGCTCAAATAGCCCTTCTGCCCCCATAATGTTTCAGAAAACATTTGAAGAACAAGAAAAGTGCCTGGTGGTTGACCAGGCATATGGGGTTGGGAGGAGGAGAGAAGTTGAGGATTATTTTCTTCTGGGTGCTGACTGAGAAATCAATTACTGGACTGCTCCCTTCAGTCAAAACGATAGAGTCCATCCTTTGACCTCACACAGCCTCGATCTCTCTTCCCCGTAGCGCTAAGCAATTCCTTCATAAAGCTTGATGATTCTGCCTCCCTATTTGTAAAATATTTGGCTCAGATGAATAAAGATGGATGGATATACTTAATCATAGGAAAAAGTGGATACCTAATTTTAGACAGACTAGAAGCCACAACTTTAGCAATAATAAAAACAACAATAATAACCAATTCACCCCAAACCACACCAAACACTAAGACAGAGTGGTTAATGCTGCCTTGTAAAGTCAGCCTCGGCTATTTTTCCACCCAGCTACTCCTGTCTGTGGTTTTTCTGACTCCTCGTATGCGGCAGTTTCCAAGTGCAGAATTCCAAAAAGCTGAATTGTCTTGATTCCTCCCAGTGTTGGCGCAGACTATAAGGAATTGAGAATGCCAATAATCCTAGAAAAACAGATGGACATTTTAAATCACAAACATTTATGCACAAGCCAAATGCTGTGGTTTTGGACAAAATATGGAAATAGATCTCAGTCCCGCCTCTTGTCCTTCCATCCTAATGAGGGAACCTACCAAGGCCAAGGGAGAAGAGAAAGAATCCCCTGGGTTGAAAGATGAAAAAAGGCTGGCAGAAGTGGGTCACCTGTGAAATGAAAAGTTTTAATGTTCCCAAGGATTGCAAAATGGATCTGAGTTGATGCAACCCTCATTTCAACTTTGTAAGATGTCATAAAATTACTTTTGGGCCATCTACCGAGTGTTTGAGATTGGACAAAAAGGGGTGGTGAGATTATTTGCCAAACCATAAAGACGAAGATGTTAGAACCGAAGGGCACTTTATCAAGATTTGGTCCAACAGCCTAAAATTTCAAAACAGAAAACAGGACAAAGTGATTCACTGATATTAAGGAATACAAAAGAAAGTAGAGGCCTGGAAGATAAGAGAAGGTTTCAAAAATCAACAACAATAAGCCCTGGATTTAGAAGTTATGAAAGTTTGGGGAAAAAAAAATATATATATTTTAAGGGAAGTGTTGTATCAGTTATTAAAAGTGGTCCAAAATTTCAATCAGACACTAAAGCAATCCTTTGGAGAAAAAAAATTTGGAAATATCTGTATTACACATTTGAGTGATCCAATTACACTTTAAAACATTTTCTCTGGAATGCCACAGGAAGATGCTAAAGATGTCACTTTGATGATTTAGCTTTGCTATATAAATTTAATAAATTAGGTATATATACTGTTTTTGCATTCTTCTGAATTGTGGAAATGTGTTTCTTGAATAGATACCACGATACGTTCAAGTATTTTAACATCTACTTCTGAATTGTAAGGAGATTAACCGTCAAAGGTATAGCCAACATCCCTGAGTTGGAGTACCTTTATAAATAAGCCAGTTTAGAATGGAAGTGCTTCCCTAAGTCTTGTGGTCTCCGTGTCATTTTGTAGAGTTACAGATTTGCTTTGTTTTTTCTTGTTAAGATGTATAAATCATTCTACTTATTTTTTGTCAATGTTTTTGTGGGTAAAAAAGTTGTGTTCATTTGTCCCGCTTATCACAACACGGTGAACAGAAGTTGTCTGGCGATCTCCTGCGATGCATCTAAAACAAAAAAGGCAAAGCCAGCGTGGACAGGGTGTGGGAGACAGAAAATTCAAGGATGATGATGTGATCTCTGTGCTCCCGCAAAAGACCCTATTTAGTAGCTTTAGGAGAGCGGTTCCCAAATTTCTGTCCCCCGACTGTTGCGTCAGGACATTTGTTAAAAATATCAATTCCTGGACCCTGCTGTAGACTTATTGAATCAGAATCCCCTGAGATGTAATCTGCAAATCCGCACTTTTTAAACAAGCGCCGGAAGCCGCGGGGAAGCACAACACAATTTCACAAGCCGCTCGTCTCCACTGGACTCACACCGGCCCTCGTGTCCGGCCTCTCCCAGGCCCCGCCCCCTCCCGCCTCCCGCCTCCCG